CCCAGTACCCCAAAAAAGACTGGGGATGTAGCTCAGTGACGCCATGCCTACGTGGAAAGCTCAAGGTCCTGAGGTCAATTCCTGGTACTGGAAATAAATAAATAAAATTCAGTGAAAAGAAAGAAACCAAACGTAAACTAAAGAACAGCACTGGTAGTGGTCATTCTGCCCATGAGTTCCCTACAATCAAAACTCCTGCTGGCGTTTACAGTGTTTTTCTGGATGTTGTGAATGGAGAGCATGTCCCTCATAAATCAGTTCTCAAGTCTCAAAGCAGAGAGAACAAAGTTTGAAGTGATACCAGTGAAACCAGTGCTGCTGAATTTGATGAAAGGCAGGGGGGTTGAGGAGTAGTGTATTTTGAAAGAGGAACCACAAGAAAAAAATCATCAAAGGAAACCTTTGCCTTCAACGGGAGCACCTGAGGCTTTTTTGGGAACTGTAATGGAAAAAGAATTTTTATCGTCTTCCTTAATGCCACACCTAGGCATTGCTCATCTGTACTACCCACCATTTTGGAGAGAAAAGAAGTTGTGTCAGAAGCAGCAGAGGAAACTGCAAAAAGGGTTTCAAAGTTCAAAGCTGCCAGATTGCAACAGAAAAGCTAGGAAATGAGTTTACATCCTAAAACCTAGTTGTGCGTTTTTAAAATATACATAGCAAAATATGTTACATGTAGTTTGAAATAAGGCACACTGAGTTAATTTAGCAGCAGCTTTTTTTAATCCTTATCAGTGAATGGTACTAAAAAAATTCAAAGTAAATGCTTGAATACTTTAATATTCAGCTTGTCCATTAATTCTCTCAATACTAAGTTGGTCTTACGATGCAGTGGTAGCGTTTCAAATTATTTTTCAAAGAATAGTGTTTATATAACAAAATACAAGTAGTTTTGTAGCAGCTGTGATATTGTGCATACGATATGGACCATTTTAAAGAAACTTCTAAAATTTCAATGGATTCGACAATTATATCACTAAAAACCAATTATATTACTTGCTTTCACATTTTAAAGGCACTTTAAAAAAATCTACTTCCCTTATAGGTTTTGCAGCTAGGTGATTATTTTAAAAAACCTCTCCCCTTTGGATGTAATCTTTTGTTTTGCTTTTTTGGCACCGGGGATCGAACTCGGGTCCTTGCGCTTACACAGCAGGCGGCAGAACCACTGAGCTAAATCCCCAACCCTCCCTTTTCATTCTTAATGGCATGGATTTGAGTCTTTTTTTTGATAAGGTTGGCTAAGGGGTTATCAATTTTGTT